GTAATGTGTAGAATAAATCTGACTAAGTAATGTGTAGAATAAATCTGACTAGGTAATGTGTAGAATAAATCTGACTAGGTAATGTGTAGAATAAACCTGACTAAGTAATGTGTAGAATAAATCTGACTAGGTAACGTGTAGAATAAATCTGACTAAGTAATGTGTAGAATAAATCTGACTAGGTAACGTGTAGAATAAATCTGACTAGGTAACGTGTAGAATAAATCTGACTAAGTAATGTATAGAGGAAATCTGACTAATTATTAAATAATGTGTAATAAGAATCTGGCTAATTCATGTGTGGTGTGGCCTGTTTAGTCAATATGTAGTAGGACTAGTTAATCTGTAGTGGGGACCTGACTAGATATTGTGTCGTGGTAATCTGGTTAAATAATGTGCAGTAGGGATCTAACTGGGTAAACAAAGTTTTCATTTTGAAGAAATAGGTTCGAAGAAGTCAGGTACATTGTTACTAACAACATACACGTGTTGTTACTTACAACATACACGTGTATTGTTACAACTTATACTGTCTACTGCAACGTGATAGTGTTGAAAAATGTGTTTGAATCACATCTGAGAACCTTTTCGTTCTGTTCATTATATTGACTTGTTTGTTAACGTTAAATGAAAGTTTCAAACACGTCCTTTGTAAAGCACATTTATTAAACATCCAAATATTCAAATAGATAAATAAAGCTAAATTCTGACTTAGCTAAAGTCAACAGAAGCATGCTTAGTACTTTAGGTTTTGCTCAAGTAAATCACATTAAACCTAATCGTGGCAATGACAAAATCATATTACATGTGATATTAAATGCGATTATACTAATGACATTAAACACAGTCGTAATACTGAGACAGTTATGTTTCATGATGACATTAAACTTGATTGTAGCAATGACATGATGACATTAAACACAGTTGGAGAATTGAGACAGTTATGCTTCATGGTGACATTAAACTTGGTTGTAGCAATGACATGATGACATTAAACACAGTTGGAGAATTGAGACAGTTATGTTTCATGGTGACATTAAACCTGGTTGTAGCAATGGCATGGTGACATCAAACACAATTGGAGAATTGTGACAGTTATGTTTCATGGTGACATTAAAACTGGTTGTAGCAATGACATGATGACGTTAAACACAATTGGAGAATTGAGACAGTTATGTTTCATGGTGACATTAAACCTGGTTGTAGCAATGACATGATGACAGTAAACACAATTGGAGAATTGAGACAGTTATGTTTCATGGTGACATTAAACCTGGTTGTAGCAATGACATGACGGCATTAAACACAGTTGGAGAATTGAGACAGTTATGTTTCATGGTGATATTAAACCTGGTTGTAGCAATGGCATGGTGGCATTGAACACAGTTGGAGAATTGAGACAGTTATGTTTCATGGTGACATTAAACCTGATTGTAGCAATGACATGGTGACATTAAACACAATTGGAGAATTGAGACAGTTATGTTTCATGGGGACATTAAACCTGGTTGTAGATTACATGGTGACATTAAACACAGTTGGAGAATTTAGACAGTTATACTTCATGGTGACATTAAACCTGGTTGTAGCAATGGCATGGTGACATTAAACACAGTTGGAGAATTGAGACAGTTATACTTCATGGTGACATTAAACCTGGTTGTAGCAATGACATGATGACATTAAACACAATTGGAGAATTGAGACAGTTATATTTCATGGTGACATTAAACCTGGTTGTAGCAATGACATGATGGCATTAAACACAGTTGGAGAATTGTGACAGTTATGTTTCATGGTGACATTAAACCTGGTTGTAGATTACATGGTGACATTAAACACAGTTGGAGAATTTAGACAGTTATACTTCATGGTGATATTAAACTTGGTTGTAGCAATGGCATGGTGACATTAAACACAGTTAGAGAATTGAGACAGTTATGTTTCATGGTGACATTAAACCTGGTTGTAGCAATGACATGATGACATTAAACACAGTTGGAGAATTGAGACAGTTATGTTACATCACTACAATAAACTTTATGATCATATATTTCAATGTGACATTAAACCTTATCAGAGCGGGATGACATCACACTGTGTGTTGTTACTGTTGATGTCAAGGTAATGTGTAAATAATTCAACATACGTTACTTTTGTTTCCAAGCACAAACTTTCCTGGTTTTATTCCTTCTGTCATGAGATTTATTGTATTAGTGTAATGACACTAGAACGTTCAACTTGGATATTTCATGCTCTGTAATAGCAAAAAATAGAAATACTACACATTTCTGTGAACAATAACTATCAAACTATGGTTTGAAAAATGTACATTTGGTTTATAGAAACAGGTACAAGTTAGGATGTGACTAACAGAAACAGGTACAAGTTAGGATGTGACTAACAGAAACAGGTACAAGTTAGGATGTGACTAACAGAAACAGGTACAAGTTAAGATGTGACTAACTAAAAACAGGTACACGTTAAGATGTGACAAACAGATACAGAATAGGATGTGACTAACAGAAACAAGTACAAGTTAAGATGTGACTAACAGAAACAGATACAAATTAGGATGTGACTAACAAAAACAGTTCAGAAACAGATACAAATTAAGATGTGACTAACAGAAACAGGTACAAATTAGGATGTGACGAACAGAAACAGTTACAAGTTAGGATTTGACTAACAGAAACAGATACAAATGATGATGTGACTAACATGAACCAGTACAAACTTGAATGTAACTAACAGAAACAGGTACAAACTAGAATGTAACTAACAGAAACAGGTACAAGTTAAGATGTGACTAATATAAACAGATACAAACTAGAATGTGACTAACAGCAACAGGTACAAATTAGGATGTGACTTACAGAAACAGATACAAATTAGGATGTAACTAACAGCAACAGGTACAAATTAGGATGTGACTTACAGAAACAGATACAAATTAGGATGTAACTAACAGCAACAGGTACAAATTAGGATGTGACTTACAGAAACAGATACAAATTAGGATGTAACTAACAGCAACAGGTACAAATTAGGATGTGACTAACATAAACAGGTACAAACTAGAATGTGACTAACATAAACAGATACAAACTAGAATGTGACTAACAGGTAGAAACTAGAATGTCAGATTTATAAGAATCATATTTATTTGTTTTAATGGTATTCTTCAAGCAAATTCTCACCAAAAATGATTCGTTATTTATCGTTTTAATCTCCTGTTAAGAAATCCACAATACAAAACGTTTAATTCTCCAGCCTGGAGACCAGGTGTGAGAGTTATGAGACGTATTTTGATTTTAAAGTTTTCCTGTTGCAGGGATGCGCCATCTAGTGTTTTTTAACTCTATAAAAGACATACATAATACAAAGTAATTAAATTCCAATCCTAAAGAGCAGATCTGTATATCCTATCACCCTTTGCTTTCAGTTGTGGCTCCTCCAAACTATAATTCAGAGACTGTTGTTAAGAACATGATTTGTAGGGGGCAGTAGTATCAACTTACTACGTGTAATATATTTTCAGCCATTCTTATGGTTTTTGATAATCATAAGATATTACAAGGCAAGCAAGTTCATACTGTTAACACGTAATGTAAAGACGAATCTGAGAAATAAACAATCTTTTACTTGGCATTTGTAAGTTTGGAAATAACTGTAAATTGAGTCTTAAAACTTTGGATCTGAAGAAATACGACGAAAATCACCCA